GCGAGGCATATTTGAAGAGGAAGAGGAAGGAAGAAGAAGGAGGAAAGGGCTCCAACTTTGTCTATCTATTCGTTCTAGCCTAGCCGTTCCCATGCTCTTAAAGAACAAAACGCCTCTTTTGCGTTCATTGAAATTGGAAAGGACGCATTCACCAAAATAAATAAGTAAATAAATAAAATAAATTGGAATGGACGCTTAATAATATATAATTAAATGAATAAATTGGAATATTATGGAATTACTTTTTGATGCTTAATAATATCATTTGTTTAAATTTTTGAACAAAATTTATTTTTTTTAGAAGGAAACGAAAATGTGGATGTGAGAGGAATGGTATAAATAAGATAGTTTTTTTTGGACGAGGGATAATAAGATGTTTAGAGTACCCTATCTTGCTGAGGACGGCAGTGATTATGTATCATTCACTAATCATTTCACACACTACTAAAAAAAATACTACAAGTAAAAATTAAATAAATAATATTAAGCTTATATATGTAAGGGCAAAAAGTTTCAATATTAGATATACCACTCGATTTTCTTATGGGAATGCAATTATGTGCATCAAAGAATTGCTCCACGTAACCATACTACCGTACTATTTTATAATCACTCCCCGTATTTTATTTATGAATTTTGATTCCTTCTAAAGTAAAAAGGCATGCCTAGTCATATGTGATGTAGGACGAGATATGGGTCATTTCCTGGTGGGAAATATTAATTAAAATAAAGTGGCTCAAAGTTGGAAGAAAATCATGCAAGAGAGAAAAATCATGGTTAAGCATCAATTATGGCGCTAAGAAAAGAAGGAAGACGTATTGTTAGGATTTTCGGGTTGCTTGATTTCTTGAGAAGATTTATATTATATTTATCAATCAGGATATTATTTTCCTGATGTGATTTTAATTTTTTTTTTCTTATTAGTTAAGTTTTAGGAATATTCTGGAACCTAGGTTGTCCTACGGTTGGAGGGTTTCTTTGTAGTCTATTTAAGCCAACTCATGACATTTTATTAATCAGTTTTATCATATTATAATCAAATTTAGAGATTTTCTCTATTTTCTGGTGGATTCCAATCACTGATGAATTTCAGTTTATCTTTGCGTGTTTAGATGTTTCTTGATTCGTAAACTCGTGCTTTTGTGCTGCATTAATTAATGAACCCCTTATTTCTCCTTTGTCATTTATTTTAGATTGTTTCTATTACTACTACCATTCAAAATGTGTCAAACGGATTGGGTCGGTCCGAGCGTGATATGAACACGACCCACTTAAGTATGGCCCGACCCAGTATGTTCCATATATTTGGGCGAGTAGGGACGATGTAATTAGGCCAAATGGGCTAGGCTTGGTCCAACCTGTTGAAAACCCATTTATTCTATTTAGAGAAAAATAATACATAATATTATTACATTTATATATTAAATTCAAGTCTATTTCTTTTCTCTAATAACATATATTAAAATTTAATATTTTCTTTATATATAAAGTAATGATTTTGTTATTCAAGTTTCAATTTTTAAAATCCAGATAATACTCTAGTCATTTTCTATTTAAATGTACTTTAAATAAAATTATTGGCATCATTTTTCAACAAATAATAAATCTTGTTTGTATATACATAATTGTAAAAAATATTTAAATGAAGTTGTAAAAAAAAGGCAATACATAAGTCAAATTTATCGTGGGCTCATCTCAGCCAGTTTTGTGGCCTAAGCACGAGCACGGCCCAAGCCTATATTCAAGCCATGAGCTCGGGGGCTGGACTGATGATTTTCTTAAATGGACGGGCCATCGATTCTAAATGAGCCAAGTTGGTTTGGCATGGCCCATTTGACACCTCCCACAGTTTACTAAAATAAAATAAAATATTTACTGTATCCCTCTTGAATCCTCTTATGTTTTTATTTATTTATAGATATAAAAAAAAACTATATCAATAACGAGAACTTCTATTGAGGGATTCCTCAAATAATTTATTTGAGAGGCACCCTTGTATGGCCCATTCCGTATTGTATTTCACTAATCCAAACAATCTATTTTGTAGATATTCATTCAAAGATCATCTCTATAAAAAATCACTTGAATCCAATATCATTTGACCACTCAATTGAATTATTAAAATTTTAGTACTTTCTTGAATCACCGTGTTCATTGATTTTGTGGGACACAATTAGATGTCGAAACGGTTTTTGATTTGTCTAATTTTTTGCAAGAATGATCTATTAATGTAAACTTAAAAAATAGATGGTTTGAATTGTTGAAAAATAATTCGTAAGGGATCCTAAAACATGTCCTTCAAAAAAATTTATTCAAAGAATCCTCAATAAAAGAGGATTATATATAGATATAAGACTTTACATGCATGGGTGAATGTCCTTCCTTGCAATAAGTCAGGTCAAAGAAGCCTCGGTTCTTTTCGTCTTAAGTGTTTTTCTTAAGTTAGATCTTTGGTTCGTGAGTGCAACTAGATAGGATTAACTCGTAAGTTATTTTCATTTGATTTGATCCACCCATGCGGCCATGGCCGTGGGCCAAGCAGGTTTTGGGCTAATGGATGAATTGAACCATTAGACTTTGCCAAAGTTCAAAAAACATGTACAATAGTTAAGTCTTCGAGCTTAATTAGAACTTATAGTCAGTCTCTAAATCTAAACTACGTACATTCCAATCAACAACGACAAGAAAATATCATCTCCCTCCTTCGTCTGAATGAATACAAACGTATATAAAATCTACATAAAAACTATATATAATTAAACTCAGCAATTGATCATTATTTTATATTCTTAAACTAGTGACAATTTAAGCAGAATTATATTCTTAACGAACATGATTTTATCCAAGTATTTTGTTTCCATCCATGTCGTATAGGTTCCCTCCCCTTGCCTGCTAAACAAGGAAGACAATATTCCTTCCAGCAGCTGGGTAGGAAGTTGCTTTCGTTTATGCTTACGTTATACCATAACACCGACAACATGCAACTCTCACTCACTTGAGACATAATAATAATATGATAAAATTAGTGCTATTGATAAAATGTAATAGAATTTCAATATACAAATTATAGTGCTATGAAAGGCCAGGGAAACTTATGGTGTGAAGCAATACTGGAGCCGAAACCAATCATGACCCTTGATATCCACATGATGAACAGTGGAATGTAAGGTAGTGATCATAATATGTGTTCCTCCTTCTCCAACAACAATTTGAAACATGGTGATACAAAGATATTGAACCTCGCGAGGTCCCTTGCAACTACCAGTATTGACATGAAAAAAGTCATTGTTAACCAAATGAACTAAATACTCTGTCTTACGTTGATAAAATGGTAACGGTGGACTTGCGATCTTTAGGCATTGCAGTTTAAACAATGTGCTGAGTGAATATGCAACACCACCATCATCACCTTTCTCCATTCTAAAGGATAATGCTATAATCTCCTCCCAATTGAGCCTATTTAAGGCATAAATAGTGTTGCCTACAACCGCGGCCCTCCCATAGAAAGGAGCATAAGTAGAAACTTCGACTTGATTCCATTCTTTTCCCTTTCTACTCTGATGAAAAGCAATGACTTTGGAATTCCTGAGGTTCCTGTTGCACAATGAAAACAAAATAACACCATAACAAACAACACATCACCAATTATATCTATACCTTCCAGATCTTTATAAAATGGAAAAGGAGGCATTGGCTCCCAATCCTTTAGATTGGGATCATATCTCTCAAAGCATGGATCATCCGGACATGCTAGGAAGCTTGGAGACGCAAGATAATACAATTTGCCATTAGCAGACACAACATTTGCTAGTGGCTTAGATGCTATGGTAGGAGGAATGGGTGAAATTACTGCCCTAGTCTCTGTGTCAAAAACATATCCTCCAAATGATCTATTGGAGGGGGGGGGAATAGATAAATCGGGACCGTCCTGATGAAGTAGATACAACTTGGAGGAGATGCTCGCACTTTGAAGTAAATAATAACCCGAGAACGTGGCGAGAGGTTCAAGAAGTAGTGGTACTGGGGGTTCATCAACTTCTCCTCCTCCTGTACTAGTACTAGATGTGTGTTTGAATAATTTTACTTCATATATTGTATGGAGACGGGGGTAAGAAACCACCACACTAAAAACACAGACCTAGCTTCCCCCGGCCCCGGATTATTTACCGTCGTCTGGATCATTGATGCATGCTCCTCCGTGGGATTAGCAGCACTAGTACTAGTCCTATTGTCGAGTAGAAGCCGAAGCTCCTCCGTCAGTTGGGTTTGTTGGAAGGCAATGGCGGCTAGAGCTTTTTGGATTTGCAATAACTTGTCATGGAGCTCAACATCTTCAACCGCCGCTTTGGATTTATTCCGACGCTCCATCTGATCGATATAACAGATGATGATAGCAAATAGCAAATAGAGGAAGGAATTAATGGACAGACAGACAGACACAGAACAATTAGATTAGAAGAAGAAGAAGAAGAAGAAGAAGAGAAAGAGAGATTACGGTTAGGGTTAAGAAGACAGAGAATCAATTAAAAGACGCGCAGATAAAATCCATCTGAGTCTGAATTACAATGCTTGTATTTATAATGACCTGATCAATCAATATGGCTACAGGAAAGTAATCCTAATCCCTATACTAAAAACAGAAAAGAAGACTGATCCTAATCCCTATTCAATTGAATTTTAGCTTTTGATGAGATTTAGGTTTAGAGTTCATGTTTGAGACAGCTAAAATAGTTGCATGACTGGATTTTTGGCAACAACTTATTTTCATATGTAGGTTTTCCACGTGGAGCCACGTCAGCAGAAAAATTGGGGCCCACATCAGCCACACAAGCATTTAGCAGAATGACTAACGGTTTATTGACGGAGAGGCTTTTGTGTAGATTTTGTTTGAGTTTTGGGTATCATTTTGCAAGATTTTAACATTCGGGTACTAATTTGAAATGACTCTAAAAGTTTCGGGGGTTTTATGTAGTTAACCCAGAAAAGAAAAGACAACAGATCGTTGAAAAGGACGGTAAGAGACTTCTCTGGCTTTTGTCTCTCCCAGTCTCCAGATCAATTACCATTACCTCCCAACCCAACAACGTCTTCTCCCCACCTACCTTCAACTGCAATCTAGGGTTCCTCACCCCTCTCTCTCTCTAACGGTTCTTCTCTCCGTACATTCTCACCTCTGCCCCGCGATCTCTCTCCCTCCATTTCCATTGAACTTGAAGGTTCGTCCAGTTCCTCAATTTCGCTTTCTGATTTTGTAACTTTTACTTTCAATTTCGTTCGATTGGGGTCGGGATTGAATTGGTTTAGATTTGAATTTGTGATCTCTTTTGTGTTTAATTGATTTTTTACTTAGTTGAATTAATCTGTTGGGTTAGGTCGTGTGAATCGTCATCGTCAATCATGACGATTGCGGATTCGGGTTTCATGATGGAGAACGGAGCAAGCTGCCTACCGCACACACCAGAGGAGGAGAAACGGATCATCGACGAATTGGCCCGCAAATCCGAAGCCAATGTCAAAGAAGGCAACTTGTTCTACGTTGTTTCTAACAGGTCTTTTTCCTTTTTGATTGAATTCACTGCAAAGGTTTTATCTTTGCATGGACTACCATCTTTGTGATGTTCAATACTTTAACAAGTGTTTTGGCATCGTATTTCTTTGGTTGGTTCTGGGAATTCAGCTTCTGGTGGGCTTTACGTGCTTTCTAAGCCAATAATATGCATCTATGCTATGCTTCTGTAGTGGGCAATTGGGTATTCTGAATTAGATTTCTTTTTTGTTTATAACTTCTTAGGAAATCAGTCTCTCTTTTTTACTGATCGTAGCTTTGTCCTGAAAACTGCCTTTTGTTAAGAGACTGTTGATGGCATTCCTTTTCTTTTATCGCAAACAATGGTTGTTTTCTCATGGGAGCATTAATTAGTCTCGTGCTTTTACAATAATATTTATGTTTGAATACATTCATTGTGACATTGGTTTGTATCGGTATGGCCGGTAGCTGGTTTAGTTTGAATAAGGCAAAATTTTCTTTCCGCTTTTGTAGAAAAAATTTAGTGTGACCTGCACAAGTAAGAACCTATACTACTTTGCATGGGTGCACTACTTTGAAGACTTCTTGGCTGTACTGTTGGGCTACCCGCTGTTGGTGTTTTGCATGTTTGTAACTAGTTTCTACTGTTTGTCCAGGTGGTACTCAAGCTGGAAGAAGTATGTTGAGCAAGGCACTGGAGAACGTCTAAATGATGAGTGGTATTCGGAATCCCAACAAATGGATCTGCTCTCATCAAAGATTGTAGCTAGACCTGGACCAATCGATAATTCTGATATAGTTGTAAATGAATCTGAGGGCACTGATTTACAGCTTCATAGAATGCTGGTGGAAGAGCGTGACTATGTCTTAGTTTCTCAAGAAGTTTGGGAAAAGCTTTCCGATTGGTAATTAATTATTTCTTTTTTCATAGAACCACTCTCGCTTGTATGATCCTTCTGCTTGTATTTTCTTTTAAAATGTACACAGCATGTGCTTGATATCCATGTTAGATAGTAAACTGCAATACAAAAAGGGGTGCAATGATCTTTTCATTTTTCCTCCAATTTTGTTTCAGTTATTTTCTACAAATCTTACAGGTACAAAGGAGGTCCAGTGTTACCAAGAAAGTTGATTTCTCAGGGTGACGTTCACAAGAATTTGATGGTGGAGGTCTACCCATTGTGCCTTAAGTTTTTTGATTCTAGAGACAACAGCCAGACAGTTATATGGTTAAGCAAAAAGGTACAACAATCATCCTTTTGTTTTTTTTTCCTCCATGCATTTATGTCCATGAGAAGTATTTTTTAGATTGTTTTAATTGCTTGTAGAGAATGATGTTTAAGAGGGGATTGCCATTTAGAGTTGCATTTGCGTTGTTTTTATTTGTCTGAAGGTGTAGTGTGGTTCGAAGCAATCTTTATTGTATTTTGTTGATGACCTATCCTTCTCGTTCATGAATGTGTCAATCTATCTTGTATTTTATTTTTCTATAAATAAAATACTGTTGATGTGGTGCTTCTGTTTCTGAGAGGATTACCTGGAAAGTTTTAAGATGTAGTACTATAAACCTGTTGTGTTATCTCTGTTTGAGCTTTAAGTTCATTTCATCTAAGCTTTTCTTTCTAACAGGTTTCCCCTCTGATTGACTTAGAAGCATTGAGTTCAAGAGTTCAGATGTCTTTGTTTTGATTTTTCTAATGCAAGCATTTAGGTTAATCTTTGGTGTGGTTTTAATTTTTCCATTCTTGGACGTATGTAATCTTGTGGCTGGCATAGATGTGATGACTCCATATGTAGATAATGAAGGTTCTAACAAACTTACTCTGTTTCAGGCTTCTGTGCAAGAGCTTTACAAGGTGGTGTGCACACTTCGAGGAATCGAGCAACAAAAGGTACATTTATATAGTTAGTTTTCCCCCCTTTCTTTCTTTTGGGCTTGAGTTTTATACTTTAGTTACCATTTAGTTATGTTACGTTGTCTTGTTTGACGTTTATAACTTTCAATCATAGGCCCGTATCTGGGACTACTTCAATATGCAGAAGCATACATTATTGGATGCTTCCAACCAAACCCTGGAGCAATTGAATTTGCAGATGGATCAAGAAGTGAGTGCTTCTGTGTTATTGATCATTAATTAGAATATTCTTTGGTAGTTGAAATACATGATTGTGCATCTCCAGCTATGATTTTATCTTTTACTTGTAATAATTTATAATTACCTGCATGCCAATAAGTTCTTTTTTTTGGGTAAATACCATGAGGTGTCCCCACACCTGAAGGGAGGGATTAATCCCCGCTCGGGGTTTGCCTTGCCCCTGGCCACAAAGTGCTTCCAACTTAATTATCCACATATGGTAAAAAAAGTTCTTTTGTTTTAGTAGGAAACAAGCTTAAAAGTACTAGAAAGACCAATAATACTGTTTCATAGAATTCCATACTTATTTCAGAGACATCAAGACTCTTTTGATTGTTACAGTATGCCAACTTAAGAAATCCTGAGTTTTTCCTTTTGAACAGGACTTATTTTCAAGAAATTTTGATTCTGGTAGGAACTATGGGCTAAGTTGTGTTTGGTTGCCTACTTATTACTGATTATGCTGCAACTTTAAGTACAAATATGATGCCTGGTTATTTTTGCACAGTCCTTGTTTTGGACTTTTTACTTTTTTCAGGAGGACCTTCAGATCAGTCAGTTTTGGTGATTATTTTGATTTGTCTGTAGTGAGTCTATTGATCTATGCTTTTCTGTGCAGATTCTTCTTGAGGTGCAAGTTGATGGAAATCATTCTTCTCAATTTTCTATGGACTCAACAGGAAATGAGTTAGCATTAGTACCCATAGAACCATCAAGGTCATCTATGACCATTGCAGGGGGGCCTACCTTGTCGAATGGTCATTCAATGGATTATAGTTATAATTTGCCTCAGGGAAGTGCCTTAAGCAGCTCAGCATCAGCAGATACAGATGATAAATGTTATGTTTATAATCCAATGAAAAAAGGAGATAGGGGAGGTTTGGCAGGATTGCAGAATCTCGGAAATACTTGTTTTATGAATAGTTCTATCCAGTGTTTAGTCCACACACCTCCTCTTGTTGAGTATTTCTTGCAAGATTACTCAGATGAGATCAACACAGAAAATCCCCTAGGAATGCATGTAAGTGGCTATCTTTGCCTCACACTTGTTCCACATGGATAGTCTTGAACACTGATTGCTTTGCTACTTTTCTCCCCTGAAATTTCAAACATATGTCGTGGCAGGGTGAGCTTGCTCTTGCCTTTGGTGAGTTGTTGAGGAAATTGTGGTCCTCAGGACGAACAACAATTGCGCCACGTGCATTCAAGGGAAAACTTGCTCGATTTGCTCCTCAGTTCAGCGGCTATAATCAGCATGATTCTCAAGTTAGTACTGTCTTTTTTCTTCAATGTCTTCTCTTTAGTACATGTAACATTATGCTATTCTCTAATGCTTGTTACAGCTTGTTACAGTTTTTATTATCATTTCACTAAGTCTTCTAAAGCCATCTAGAATAATTTTCTAGGGGTATTTATAATAAGCTACCTGATTATTGTATTTGCTCTGAATGATGAATTCTTCTTTGTAGGAACTTCTTGCTTTCCTACTGGATGGCCTACATGAAGATTTGAATCGTGTCAAAAATAAGCCGTACATTGAAACAAAGGATTCAGATGGTTGTCCAGATGAGGAAGTCGCAGATGAATGTTGGAAAAATCACAGGGCCCGAAATGATTCATTGATTGTGGATGTTTGCCAGGTAAGAAATCTTTTGACTGTTATTGTTGTATCATATAATGTGTGCATCTTGTGTGTTGCTATATTTATCGTTCATCTACTTTTTCTTGTAGTTGAGTTTCTAGTCCTTATTACATGGCAACTTGCAAGTGTACTAAATCGCATCTAAACTTTCTGCTATTGTTGCTTTCAAATACACATGCACACATTCATTGAAATGGCACCTACGGAAGATGCATACAAGAATAAAGGGTCTATACAGGACCTGTATAAATTTGGAAACAGATAATTTAAAGAGGTTCAAAGCTTGAGGGGGATGGCTGATTCCAGCTTTTAAGGAGTGCTAGGTCCTTTAGATTTCTAGAACCTTAAACGCCCGCCTTTTTGCTCTTCTATAATCCTATATTGCTTATGCTAACATCTTGGTGCCTTTAAATTGGATTCTTATGGTCAATTTTTTATCAAATTGTATCGAAATTTACTTGCCTTTTTATATTTAGCTTGGTATTTGTTTGTTTCAAGAGTAATTTTGTGAGTTGCATGTTGTTTAGTGCTCACTTTTCTTCTTTATGGTGGGCTTCTAGAGTAATGTAATTCATAGTTGAGGCATTTTTGTTGAATGTACAAGGTTTATCTTTGGTTATTTGAAATCAAAATCTGGTTTAACTAATGTCCAGGGTCAATATAAATCGACGTTGGTATGCCCAGTTTGCAGCAAGATTTCAATTACTTTTGACCCTTTTATGTACTTATCATTGCCTCTACCTTCAACTGTCACTCGGTCAATGACGGTGACTGTGGTTTATGGTGATGGACGTGGTCTTCCAATGCCATACACTGTAACTTTGATAAAAGATCGCTGCATTAAGGATCTTCTTGATGCATTGGGTACTGCATGCTGCTTGAAGAGTGATGAAAGCCTTATGCTTGCTGAGGTAATATTGAGTTCACTGACTTATAATTTTCCTCTCTCTGTCATTTATTTATTTATTCTGTAGAACTGTACCTTTTTGTTAGTTTGATTTGATATGATTTGTTTGCTCATTCCAGCATTCCCTATTAGTTAAGTTTTTGGGCTAGGTAGTCTCATCCCTCATCATTCTCCATTTAACTTTCTGCACTTCGGATTAAGGCTGCATGCATATGTTTCTCTACATGCAGGATTGGGGTTGCACATTGAGTTGGAGGGATGTTAGTTTGAAACATGTTGTTGGCGCATTTTCTAATAAGTTAGGTTTTTGTGTACAATAGTAGTCTAACACTTCTATTTCAGGTATATGAACATCGAATTTATAAATATTTAGACAACCTTTCTGAACCATTGTCGTCAATTAAGAATGATGACCGCATTGTGGCTTATCGATATTCTAAAGAAGAAGCGGCTTTCAAAACCAGACTTGAAATCATTTATCGATGGCAGGAAAAGTAAGTTTGCTTTCCTTAATCTGTAGCGGTTGGATTTGCTTGTAGGTAAACTTGTCAAAGTGTGAACTTTGTTTCGACCCTGTGATTGTGAGGTTTAAAGGATGTGTATGAGCCTGCCACAAAATGTTGATTTCATTGAAATTGGAGGCCCATGGAACCCCTTATTTTTTAATCGCATCCTTCTGAAAATGAGGTTCATGTAGGCCCTGGTAGATAGGTCATTCTTAGCCTTCATACATGTTGCCTTTTTCTTTGGCTGAGTAGAAAGAGAAAGAGGATCTTCCTCAACCATACACACTTAATTGCCTAGTTGCTGCATATATTCCATTGGATAAGCTCTTTTATCATTATTGCTTTTGTTTTTTTTTCCCCCCTTTTTGGCTGAAATTTTAACCAAAGCTCTTGTCAATTTCCAGATCTACATCAGATTCTCTAAAGGGTCAGAGAAAGCTTTTTGGAACACCATTGGTTGCTTATCTAGGAGAAGACAAATTAAATGGAGTTGATATTGATAGAGCTGTCTCCAGAATTCTGTCACCTTTGAAGAGAGCAGTTAAGCTTAACAGCATAAAAGAAAATGGATTAGTTTCAGAAGGCATTGATGAAGCATCAAACAGCCACAACTCGAGGCCCATGGACAACATAGAACTAGAGGAAACATCTAGTGGCGAGTTGTCCTTCCATCTATTTTTAGCTGATGAAAGGGGTTCGAGCTGCAAACCAATTGAAAAGTATATGTCCATTAGTTCTGGTAAACCCATAAAGATTTTTCTGGACTGGACTAATCAAGAAGATGAAGTATATGATGCTTGCTACCTCAAGGATCTACCTGAGGTACACAAGAATGGGTTTACCGCAAAGAAAACTCGGCAAGAAGCTATTTCCTTATTTACATGCTTGGAGGCATTTCTGAAGGAAGAACCTCTAGGACCTGATGATATGTGGTAGTGTACTTCTACCAATTTAATGGCTTCTGATATGGCATTATTTTAAATTTTCAGGCAAGTGGGTATCATCATAGGCAATATTTTGACGTATGCTCTTGAATTTTGCAATACAGGTACTGTCCTAAGTGCAAGGAACATAGACAAGCTACAAAGAAACTAGATTTGTGGATGTTGCCAGAGGTTCTTGTTTTTCACCTGAAACGGTTCTCATATAGCAGATACTCAAAGAATAAACTTGATACGCTAGTGACTTTCCCAATACATAATCTTGATTTGAGTCAATATGTCATGAACAAGGATGGAAAACCTCATTTATATGAGCTATATGCCATTAGCAACCATTACGGTGGTCTAGGTGGTGGGCACTACACTGCATATGCAAAGGTAAAACTCTGATACATCTCATCTTTTCTGGGTTTGAATGGTGCCCTACTGGCTGAGATCGGCTAGTTGATGACATCTTCCCCCCTGCTACTGCTAGTGTTACAATGATACTGTAGGCTTTGTGATTCATATTTCAATCACTGGCTAATGGCAAAAAATTAGCGGTATTCCATAGTTATATGATATTACAATGATATTGTAGGCCTCTTTAAAATATTGTCTGTTGAGATAAAGTTATCTTGTTTGCCAATCTTGCAGTTGATTGATGAGAACAGATGGTACCATTTCGATGACAGTCATGTTTCTCCAGTCAATGAAACTGACATCAAGACTTCGGCTGCCTATGTGCTATTTTATCGGAGAGTTAAAAGTGGACAAAAGATTGGAGAGGCCGAGTCATCAGGGACTCATATGGAATCTTGACGACATCAATTGAGTGCATCCTCCTATTATAGGGTTTTGAAGCTTCCTATAGGTTAAGCTGACTTGGTCGAGGAATGGTGAGCTTTGTTGTTTTACTTGGCTAATCGGACCTGGCAATCGGCAGGTTGAAGGTACAGATTGCACGATACTGGCATGGACTAAAGCCGTAGTACGAGGGGCTGCATGACATGGTTGTTGGTACTAGGAATGTGTTCGCCATCTCATACAATATTTTTTAAGGGAAAAGGAAAAGAAATTTTGGTAGCCATTTATCCATTAGATTTCCTCGGGTAAAGATTTCTTCAAACATCCACCTGACTCTGCTTCTTATTTGTTGGGAAGAGTAGCAAATTATTTTAGAACTTCTGTAAGATGTTCTATGTTTATTATGGCAGTGCAGTGTAAGATGTCGAGACAGGACAGATCTGTACTGTACGAAAAACACTGTAATAGAATCAGAGACAAAATTGGTGGAAAGTTGAAAGAACCTTGTGTTTTTTACCCCTAGCCTTTACAGATTAACATGCTGAAATTGCCTTTTTTTTTGGGTTTCTTTAGGTGGAGGCATCTTTACTTTTGGCTATTGATTGATCCTCATGTGACAAGCTTAAGTGGATTGTGAATCATCAGAGCTTATATGGCTTTTTTGTCTTTTTTAATTTTCTGCAAGAATCTTGAATAGAGAAGGTAAGATATTGTCCATACAGAGTAACAACACAATCTAAGATGACACAGATACATACTTAAACAAATACAAAAGTGATCAAATAAATCAATAACTCTCTCTCTCTCTCTAGACTGCCTCCTTCCAGACGTCCTCATCAGCAGCAGCATTAAACTAACACCTCTCTCCCTAATCACTAGAGTTATTAAGACAATGAAAATAATTCTCCTGCAAAAGCCAAACAAAAGAAAGAAAAGTTAAAGACTTGTTAAATAAGTTTGGTACCATTTGAGATGCCACTGCCAACCAAAAAGAGTTATTAAAGGCCACCCACCATCATCACTTTCCTCAGTGAACCCCACACCCTTTTAACTTACCAGAGACATGCTGATGGATCATTAAGAAAAATGCATCAAGGTGTGGGGTCCATTGGGAATTTTATGTAACAATCAAATTTTATACAGGCAGGTTATGGAGGTGACCGTTGATGCATGTTAAGTTCACAATGCATTGACAAACAGATAAAAGTATGGTAAAATTCTAGATTTCATAAATGTTATGATGACGTGTGATGATGATGGTGATTCACAATAAAAGTGGGTTATGAGCAAAGGAACAGAGTTTCACCTTTTTTTTTCCTAATTCCCAAGTAGCCTCTTTTTTTTTTTTTTTTTTTTTTTCCTCTATCTTTTCCACCGTCCATTCACATCTTGATTTCTGATTAAAAGGCTTGAGCACTTATCGCTCTGAGCTTTTTCCCTAACTTCAAAGGACATGTTTCATCAACAAGAAGACCACTAACATGGGAATCAAACCAATCACATGGCATCTCTCCTGATAAAACAAACACAAATCAGAACTAAACAACCCAAAATAGCAAAAATTAAACCGAAAAACATCTAAATTAAGCGACTGTATGCTGGCACATGTACAGGTAAGCCGACGTCGTTTTCCACGAAATGCCCTATTAAATTTGTCCCAATCAAACCCAACGGACACCACTGTCTCGCAAGTAATTAAATCATCCAAAATCTTATCAACACTGAATGACCAATATCCGTTGGACATCTGGTCCACTAAAAACTCAGCTGCTTAACACAGTAAAACAGGAAAACAGTAAACAGTAAAAATGAAGGACTTGCCGTGACCGCGGCGGAGGAAATTGCCAAGTAGCCAGAACTGGAAGTTCCCGGCGGAGAGGGAGTAATCGGATTCACCAACCCTCCCGAACCCGAACCCGAATTCGAACTCAAGTTACCGTTACCAAAGGAGCTGTTGCTCACCGACAGCCCGATTGAGTACGCGGGCGACCCGTCGGGTTTGAAAAGCCCGAAGTTCCTCTCGGAAGTCGGGCCAGGTTTCATGTTCTCATTGAACAAAGCGAAGACGTAGATGTTGAGATCCGACCCGGGCCTCAGCGGCGTGCCCTTCTTCTGGCAGATGAGCTTGATCAGATTCCCGTTGTACTTCTTCGCGTTCTCCGGCGTCGCTCCGGCTTCGTCCTCGTCGCCCTTCGACGGCCAACCGGTCTCGGAGATGTGAACCGGAAGCTTCTTAAACCCTAGCGCAGCTAGGGCGGAGTAAACGGCGTCGATCTGAGCGAAGAGCATGTTGTCGTAGTGGAGATTGGTGCCCGAATCGAGCGAGCCGGAGTTGGGCTGGAAGAGGACGTAGTCCAGAGGCACCTGCTTAGGATTTGACTTGTAGGCGAAGTAGGGGTAGGCATTGATCAAGAACGGCGAGCCCGTTTTGGAGTGGAAGTTGAGGATCGGAGTGATGCAGCCGGTCAGATCTCGCCGGAAAGCTCCGGCCGACGGCGGGAACGAGGTCTCGAGAATGGAGAGGGAATGGGCGGTGGTGACGGTGACTTGCTTGTCGAGGTTGAGAGAGACGAGGGCGGCGTGGACGCTTTGCATGGCGGGGAGGAGATTGTTGCTCAACGACGTGTCGTTGAAGGTGAGGACCTCGTTGCCGACGAAGATGCAGGTGATGTTGGTGGCGGGTAAGTGGGCCTGAACGTTGGACTTGACCCAGTTTTGGGCCTGGGCCGGGTCTTGGACCTTGGTGAGGTACTCGTTACCGAGGCCTACTATGAACTGGACGCCGGTGTTGGCGAAGGCCTTGAGGACTTTGGGATCGGCGTCGTACAGCTTGATCTTGGAGATGCCGATGGACTTCACCAACGGAACAACGTCGTCCGGCGAAGGTAAGTTGTTGGCGATTTGGCCGTAGTTTATCCCCATTGAATTCACCATTTCAGCAAACACAAACCCTTTTGAAAACAAAAACACAAAAACAGAGATAATGCTGTAATTAGTTAACCAAAATTCAAAAAGAGTAAAAAGATCAAAGCTTTGAAGCTAAATTGGAGGATGAGGAGCAGGGTTTTATTTATCAGTGCCTGAAATGATTAGAATTGATAAGAATAGTGAAGAGCAGCAGCTGAAGCTAGTGCTGGTCGCCATTTTTGGTGCTCAGCTTGGAGACTGCAAAAGGGAATTAAGCAGAAATGTAGAAGCTGCAGCAGCTCCAAATTGGCCAACAGTGAGGAGAGAGAGTGACCACTGTATATAGAGCTCTTAGAATCACTCCCTCACTCTCAGAATTCAGAAATGAGCTGGGACAATGGGTTATAGGTCAAATGCCCAATGTAGGCACGCAACTGTGAAAGCTATGGGTTTGCGAGAGAGAGAGAGAGAGAGGATACAAAATGTGAGCTTTGAATTTGGTTGGTACTGGGTAGATATTTAGGGCTTGTAGGGACGGCACAGAGGCAGGTTTAGGGGTAGAAACTACAATGGGGACCAAAGGGAATAAAAGGGTCTCTCTATGTTTACAGTGTCATGCTAAGAAATGTGATTTGGTGTGATTTGGTGTGAGTGAGTTTTGATTCTTCCTTCACTTGAATGCTATGATTGATGCTGCGGTGGTGATGGGTTTTGAGTGGGGTCCAGTTACTGTTGTCCGACAAGCTTCACATGATCACCATTCCCAATCCACTCAAATCTGGGAGCTTTTTTATTATTTTAATTTTTGTGAAGGAGGAAGGGTAGGCTGGGCAACTCACAAACTCTGCTTTATTTTCTATTGACCTTTTCTCTTTTCGCCTCTTTTTCATGAGGAGGCGCTGTTGGGCTGTTATGTTGGTTTTCTCATGGTTCAAGAAAAACGGCAGAGCCATTGCCATACAGCACCAGATACGTGGCATGCATGCCAAGCAAAGGTGAGCAAAAACAAAGCTGTGTGAATCAACCTTTCGCCGTTTCTGGCTGCAAGAACAAATATCTTCTCGCTTATCTCATGTCTCAACTCTTGCTTCATATTCAATGCAACAAAAATGAAAATGTAGCTCTAAAGTCCGCACACATGTGTCACTGGTACGTAAATCAAATGTCTTTTCTCAACCATGAACATGCATTTAATTAATCTTAGGGATATATTTAATTACTAGCTAGATGTTGAGTTGTCAAGTTGAGCATCTCTTAAAGTTAAACTAATTATTGCCCATCGGGTATCAATTGGTTGAGCTCTTCTACTTCCATCCATGTGGACAGGTGTTTGAAATCTCAAACGCCCAATAAATATTTGTATAGCCCATCCCCAATCGCTTATACTAAAAAAATTTGAACTAATCATTTTGTGTGCGTATCAATTTTCATGGTTTATCTGTTTTTGTCCATATGTATGATAAGAATTACGAAAACTCCCACCTAGAGCATCATTTGGAGCAATTGGATTGATTACTTGAGTCATAATTTACTATTATTCTGACTTCCACCATGCTGCCTTTTGTTATTACTTTTGATTTTGTGGGTTTTCTGCTTTGTATAATCATTTTTTCTTTACCGCACGCTCATGGTGATCGTTATTGCTATTATAATTATTCTAGTTTTCGGTCATACACCCTTTTGTTTTTTTCGGGTATCCGTAAGCTAATTTGAGTATCTTCGTCTCCATTTTGCAGACTGAAAGATACATAAAATTCTCTTAACCAATTATAACCTTGTCAACTTGGAGCTGCATTGGCAGCATTGCTATAAAGACGAAGTGAAATGTCACCATCTTGCTATCTTAGCCGACATTTTTGTTAATTGCTGGAAATTGATCAATTATTCTCGTTTGGTATGCACCTTATGTTTGAAAATGGTATTCTTGTTGTATTAGTTATATGTTATTTGCGGGAATTGATTTTCTCACTCCCTTTTTATCAACTTACACTAAATTTTTTTAAAATTGTATGTTCTCACTCATTTTTTATTCACTTAATCTTATAGTAAAAAGTATTAAAAATACAAAGGGGGATGTAGATGGATAAAAGGGGACTGGAAAAATCACCACCCTTATTTGATAGCGAGGTTTCTTATTAGTATCTCCTTCACCTTCTAGGTCAAAAATTCCAACTCAAATCTTTCATTTTCTCAATCCGAGTTATAGACTTTGCTCAATTTCTTGTTTTTGTTTTCGACAATCACACCAGCAACGAGAAGAATAAGGAGGGGAGAAAAACCCTACGAAAACCAAAACAGAAAAAAAAAAATGTAATAATAATAATTTATTTTTCTGCAATACTATAAATTTTATTTTGTTTACTTGCAATATATATTAAAAAGGGGACTGGGAAAATCACCACCCTTATTTGATAGCGAGGTTTCTTATTAGTATCTCCTTCACCTTCTAGGTCAAAAATGCCAACTCAAATCTTTCATTTTCTCAATCCGAGTTATAGACTTTGCTCAATTTCTTGTTTTTGTTTTCGACAATCACACCAGCAACGAGAAGAATAAGGAGGGGAGAAAAACCCTACGAAAACCAAAACAGAAAAAAAAAAATGTAATAATAATAATTTATTTTTCTGCAATACTATAAATTTTATTTTGTTTACTTGCAATATATATTAAAAGTACAAGACTAGGCAAGAAAAACAAACTTGTTCTTCAGGTCTTCATAACCACAGCAAATAAGTGTCAGATTCATTAAATTATGCACAACTTGAAGATCATTTTTCACCCTCACACTTAGTTGATTATAGAAAAGCTTAGATTTCCACCAAAAGCATATGGCTCTCACATGAAGCTGGAGATTAAGAACCAATAGCGGCTACCACCGGTGGAAGTTAGCTCACTTACAGGTTAATATTATACTAGAAACTCAATGCTCAGGGAGTGGGAACATTTTCCTTGGCAAGGGGAGCAATCTCTTCCCCTTCAATTCCAGGTTCGCCACCGGCAACTTCCAGGCTCAAAAGCATCTTTTCCCATTGTTTTGAAGGTCCCTGCATTCGATCCGACACGGTTAATTGCAAACCAAGCAACATTAAACTCAAAATTTATGAGAGAACTAGCTGCTTAGCAATTGAGTATCGTACGAACCTTCCACGAAAGATCTTGGGCCATGCAATTCTGGATCATCTCATTTAACGCAGGAGTACCGTATGCTGCAAGAGCTCTCTTGACAGTAGTAGCAATTGCAGTCACATCTGCTGGGTCAACTTCCTCGCACTAAAACAACCCACCAAAACACATCATTCATTATTTTGAAGATAAGTGGAACAAAGGAATATAAAAAAGTAGTGCAATTGTGTGACGTCACAGATGCAAAGCAAGTCATTGACTTACTTCGACGTTGAAGGCTCCCATCTGAAATCCTGTAAAGCCTTCTTTGACAGTGTCAACAAGTCCACCGGTTGAGGCAACAATAGGCACCTAAAGATATTGCATTCAGCATAATTAGAGGAAGTGACTGATAGTTTAAGACATTGGTTGTTGATGTACAAATCTAGCTCCTTACCGTTCCATATCGCATAGCATGCAGCTGAATGAGACCACATGGTTCAAATCTACTTGGGATCAACATAAAATCAGAACCACCAATAATCATGTGGGCTAATGGCACATTGAATTTTGCCACTCCTACAGCCTTGCCCGGATATTTGATCTCCAGCTGTTTGATCTGCGTCTCCATATTCTTCTTGCCAGTTCCCTAATAGAAACAACATCCTTCCATCAAACTCACCTCTATGCCTACTGCTGACAGCAGCAGGGTAAAGAAAGCTGATTCATCAGATACTTACAAGGATTATTATTTGTACTTCCTCTCCAATGAATTTCGAGATGGCTTCTACTAGAATGTCTGAACCTTTCTGCTCCTCCAGCCTACCGATGAAGCCTATCACCGGGATGTCCTTATCAACTGGCAGCCCAACTTCTGCTTGAAGGGCCTCCTTCAATAGAGGCTTTGCATCCAGTACCTGGACATACAATTCTGATCAGTACAAAAAAATTCCTGCCAGCCATGTCAAGGTATTGAAAACCCTTAGGATTTACTTACAGTTGTGTTATCATATTTGACATCCAAGTACTTGTCTCTGGCTGGGTTCCACTCTTGAACGTCCATGCCATTTACAATACCAGTGATTCCGGTCTTACGGATGATGTTATCTAATTCCACACCTTTGTCTTCTCCAGAAATAAGTTCTTGGGCATAGTATGGGCTCACAGTCACAACCCTGTCTGATTCCAATATTCCAGCCTTCATCCAATTGATTTTCCTTCCCTTCACAGGCTTGTTATACCTGCAAATTTAACCAAACATTCAGAAAGAGGAAAATTTTGCCAAATCCACAAAGTAAACTTTTGAGCCCTTAATATAGTTGCTACATCAAATGTGTAATATATACCCATCAATGAAGTCAAAAGAACCCCTAAGTTGGTCCGGCAAATCAACCAGTGAGAAGTCCGAAAAGGCAAATCTGCCCTGGTAAGCTATGTTGTGGATGCAAAATGCAACCTGCCATTCATTTATCAAGCATTATTACAGTTTTCATGTAAAATAATGCTCTTCAAACTCAGGGCACCTTACCTTGGCATTTTTGTAAAGACCCCTTGGCTTGTAGATGGTTTTTAAGTAGCAAGGAATAAGAGCAGTGTGCCAATCATTAGCAACAAATACAACATCCTCTCCTGCAATGAGGTAGCCAAGGATACATCCTTAATAATATGCTATTTCTTGAATAAATCATACTCTTTTTTAAAGAAAAAGAGTGAGATGCACACCGTATGGTCCAGAGAAGTATTCGTTGCTGTTCAAATTAAGAACCCTTGGAGCCTCCAGAGCAGCCTGAAAGTTCACAAAAAGACTAATTCATAATTCAACTTTATTCATATGTGAGTCATCACAACAGGAAAATTAATTGTTCTAGACAAGTTAGAAAAAGAAAATGAAAGAAAAGAGCATGACATGCCTTGCACAACAAGCTGAAGCGCAATTGGTTGTCCTTGTAATCCACTCCTGTCTTGGGACCATAGATTTTGGATCCAGTTTTGCCCCATACCTCCATATCCAGAAAGCCAAGCATCAGTCAAAGACCTAATTGAACCTTCATTCATACAATAATCTAGAAACATATGGCCTTAGACAATAAAGAGAATATTCATACCCTCTCAAGGAACAATGGGTGATCCACAAAGACACGATCAACACCGCGCTTGTAGCAATGGAAGAAGCGAACGGTTTCAATTTTACCACCAACTTCTATCTGCATAATCAAAACTTCTGATCATTTGAGGCACATTTTCCTAAACATACATCACTCGCTAAATAAGAAAGAAGCCCAGAAACAACATTAGATTCTTAAAGTTAAAGAGGCATATACTAAATGCAAGACTTACCTCAACCAGTACACTAGTATCCCATGCATCTTTATATTGATCATAGCGTGGAGACACGGTCATAACACGGTGCCCGTTAGCCTAGAAATCAATCATCAGGCACAAAAATCAGTCAAACTAAACCAGAGAAATGAAAAACATGGATCAAACTCAAGTAAGTCACAAACCGCCATAGCCGGTGGGAGGCCTCCAAGAACATCCCCAAGACCACCAGTTTTGCTCCATGGACCAACTTCAGCCCCCACAAAGACCAAGTTCATGCCTGTCCCACATACAATCTTCCCCACACACTGATCACCCTCGGTCTTGTCAGCTTTCTTCATGGCTTGCCTAGGAACTGCAATAGGACGGGTTCTGATTCGAAGCATATCCAAGTTGCTCAAAGACCTTAGCCCATTGTGAGTCATTGGCTGGTTCCAGAGGCCCATCTGACCCAAGTTTGTTCTGGTTTCTGATCCTGAACCTCCATTTACATGGGAAGTCCTTGATACAAAGTGTGAGGCTGCCAAAGTCGACATATCTGATAACCTCGCTCTGAAACACATAACCAAACAAATCTTATAAAATTAGAAACATAAAAATAAAATTTAAAAAGTTGTGCCTCTAAGCCACAGAAATTAACCAAAATACAGAACAAGATGATCAAGCAAAACCAAAGACTTTCAGGCTCACAGGGGTGAGAGATTACTCAAAGAACAGAAACCCAAAAAAGATGATCAAGCAAAATTGTAGACTCTGAAGCTCACAGAGATCACTCAAACTAAAAAATAAAATTTTAAAAGTTGAGCCTCTAAGCCACAGAAATTAACCAAAATACAGAACAAGATGATCAAGCAAAATCAAAGACGATCAGGCGCATAGGGGTGAGAGATTACTCAAAGAAAAGATGGCCAAAATTGCTGATCAATCAAAATTTAAGACTTTGAGGCTCATAGGATCATAGATCACTCAAGCAACATATACCCAAAGAAATGATTATCAAATCAGACACCAAAGTGTTTTCCTTTACACTTGCATTTACTCTGCACTAAAAATATGAAAACACAACCAATTGAGAAAAACTCTGAACGTTGGTTTTAAGTACTAAAACTTATCAAGATAAGAGCAAATTTCGGAACTGATCATACCAAATTTAAATCATTTGCAAAAATATTTAATGTTTAATGGTATTAGTCAAGTTTCTTACCAAGTTTCAAGTTGACAAAGCACCTGTAACACTCTCTCTCTCTCTCTCTCTCTGAGTGTCCGAGTCTCACTCAAACAGCCAGCTGAGAGTGTGGGTGTTGGTGCGAAATGGTCACTGGGGAAGTGGGGATTTGTACTTGCCACCTACATTATTGTGCCAGTACACGTGTCAGAAAGGCAGCGGTTGGGCTTCCAAACCTAAAGTATGATCACGTGTGGTTTTTGCATCCCTCGGGGATATTCCACAAACGTGAGGCCATTCAGTGCACCTAATGTTCATTGGAACAGAGCAGCAGCAGCAGCTGAAGATGTTTTCTTCAATCAAGCGGCGGAAACGACACAATCTGGAGTGCTAATCGTGTGGTTTAGAGTGCATGGCTTGGTGTTGGTGGGGCTTTTGATGGGGAGGGTTCCTGCATAGGAAGCAGACAAGGTACAAAACGACATCCAGATATTTTGTGGAGCAATCAAACTGCACAGTTGAAGTAGTTTTCTTGAGATTTTATTGACTCTATGCAGTTGTGGGGTTGCCTAAAATGGACGGTGGTTCGTTTCTTGGTACCTTAAAAAACGTTCCCAAGTTGCATTTATATATTAAATTACGCACGGACGTGGCTGAAGCAACAATCTTTATCATCGTGATCGTCCATAATTGCAGCTGAGGAAGATGAATGCTCGGTAGGGCGAGGAGGAAATTTATACAAACTTAACTCATGGCATTTTGATAAAGATAACGGCTACAAATGTTGTAAGTGTTCATTGACTCCGTTACACCTTTCAAATCTCCATTTGTCCACTTCAATTATCTCCATCATCATTCGTCAAGTCGTATTCAGTTTGATTATTTTCTCATTTTCATTATTATTGTGTTCACTGTTTTCAGTGCAAATCCTTTTCTACTACATAAAACAGTCAAGTAGCCTAATGAAGAACGTTTTAAAGATCAATGGACTTGCTGCTGCAAACACGCCTTTAGTCACAAGTAACATGATTTCTTGTTTGCCTTTTATAGGATTTGTGTTTTTGTGTTTTTTTAGAGAAGCAAACTACAACAGAAGCTTCTGATTAGGAAAACAGGAATAATAATAATACAACACAAGACACGACCCACACCACACTACTAGTCAATTGCAAGAAAACGACGTGGGACTAGAAGCAGCGCTGTCTGTCATGAACATGATTTTCAAGATTTTTTAAGACGTGCGTTTCAACAAATGATTATGATATGGTGGTGTTCACATTTTTATTTGTATTTTCTCAACCCCTCTTCTTCTAGGAAATTAAATATTGAATATTCCTGCTTCATAATTTGTACTTTTTGTCTTCCCTCCATCCATTGGCCCCGTAGTTTTCCACTAAACGAAGGCACTGCTGCTATAATGACATTCAGCCAAGAGCTCGCCCCCTACTTGTGGCCATACGTTTTCTGCCTAAACAAATGCGTGGACCGTTGCTTGTCACTAGTATTTTTCTTTTGTTAGATTGTAAAAGTACACGAGTGTTCACCACATCTTGTTACACAATTTCACACATACTCGTGTGGTTTGATTGGTATTTTTCTTCTTAATGTCAAAAGAAATTCGTAAATTTAACTCTTCCTTTTTAGGAGTTATTTAATGTGTAATTTTCAAGGCATCGCGTCATAGAGTTCAATGGACCACATGATTTTTGTATACAAACTTTTGTGGCATCCAATGATCGCATAAATTTAAAATAAATTGAAGGGTTGAGAAAGTAATGAAATTTCAAATTCACGATATGTCATCTGACTTTAATCCCTCATGTAAAGGTGCCCTATGTTCATTTCCTTAAGGAAGCTTCCTTTTTTTAAGGAAGCTTCCTTTTTCAATCTTAAAAAAAAAAAAAAAAAAAAAGCGGTTGGGCTTCCAAACCTAAAGTATGATCACGTGTGGTTTTTGCATCCCTCGGGGATATTCCACAAACGTGAGGCCATTCAGTGCACCTAATGTTCATTGGAACAGAGCAGCAGCAGCAGCTGAAGATGTTTTCTTCAATCAAGCGGCGGAAACGACACAATCTGGAGTGCTAATCGTGTGGTTTAGAGTGCATGGCTTGGTGTTGGTGGGGCTTTTGATGGGGAGGGTTCCTGCATAGGAAGCAGACAAGGTACAAAACGACATCCAGATATTTTGTGGAGCAATCAAACTGCACAGTTGAAGTAGTTTTCTTGAGATTTTATTGACTCTATGCAGTTGTGGGGTTGCCTAAAATGGACGGTGGTTCGTTTCTTGGTACCTTAAAAAACGTTCCCAAGTTGCATTTATATATTAAATTACGCACGGACGTGGCTGAAGCAACAATCTTTATCATCGTGATCGTCCATAATTGCAGCTGAGGAAGATGAATGCTCGGTAGGGCGAGGAGGAAATTTATACAAACTTAACTCATGGCATTTTGATAAAGATAACGGCTACAAATGTTGTAAGTGTTCATTGACTCCGTTACACCTTTCAAATCTCCATTTGTCCACTTCAATTATCTCCATCATCATTCGTCAAGTCGTATTCAGTTTGATTATTTTCTCATTTTCATTATTATTGTGTTCACTGTTTTCAGTGCAAATCCTTTTCTACTACATAAAACAGTCAAGTAGCCTAATGAAGAACGTTTTAAAGATCAATGGACTTGCTGCTGCAAACACGCCTTTAGTCACAAGTAACATGATTTCTTGTTTGCCTTTTATAGGATTTGTGTTTTTGTGTTTTTTTAGAGAAGCAAACTACAACAGAAGCTTCTGATTAGGAAAACAGGAATAATAATAATACAACACAAGACACGACCCACACCACACTACTAGTCAATTGCAAGAAAACGACGTGGGACTAGAAGCAGCGCTGTCTGTCATGAACATGATTTTCAAGATTTTTTAAGACGTGCGTTTCAACAAATGATTATGATATGGTGGTGTTCACATTTTTATTTGTATTTTCTCAACCCCTCTTCTTCTAGGAAATTAAATATTGAATATTCCTGCTTCATAATTTGTACTTTTTGTCTTCCCTCAATCCATTGGCCCCGTAGTTTTCCACTAAACGAAGGCACTGCTGCTATAATGACATTCAGCCAAGAGCTCGCCCCCTACTTGTGGCCATACGTTTTCTGCCTAAACAAATGCGTGGACCGTTGCTTGTCACTAGTATTTTTCTTTTGTTAGATTGTAAAAGTACACGAGTGTTCACCACATCTTGTTACACAATTTCACACATACTCGTGTGGTTTGATTGGTATTTTTCTTCTTAATGTCAAAAGAAATTCGTAAATTTAACTCTTCCTTTTTAGGAGTTATTTAATGTGTAATTTTCAAGGCATCGCGTCATAGAGTTCAATGGACCACATGATTTTTGTATACAAACTTTTGTGGCATCCAATGATCGCATAAATTTAAAATAAATTGAAGGGTTGAGAAAGTAATGAAATTTCGCCCTATGTTCATTTCCTTAAGGAAGCTTCCTTTTTCAATCTTAAAAAAAAAAAAAAAAAAGGAAGCTTCCTTTCAAAAATAAAATAAAAAATACAATGGGATCTTCCCTAATAGCTGGCCCGTGCTTTTAGGACCCATCTTAGAATACGCAGGGTATTGGGAAGTCTCCATGTTTCCCTAGTTCTTCACGAAAAACAAGGTATACAAGTTTTAACCAAAGGGTTGTCTATTTCACATGAAGAACATTTCTTTTGACTTCTGGGTTAAAGAATAATGATAGGCTAAGCAAGTCTTAAGCAACAGCAAAAAATAATTTAAAATTGAAACAGGGCAGGTGAGCAAACCCAACACGTTGGGTTATTTGACCAAAAACAACTGATAAAATCCTTTCTTCTGAGGCAAATTTAAGAATTAATTAGCATATGATTATGATGACTAAAAGGCTGGCAAAATGTGTTTTATACAATTCCAAATAATTTCGTCCGCAAGCAAACCAATTTGCTACCGACAATTTACAACGAAATACAAACAAAGGCCAGACCTTGTGACATGCACCGGAATCCCGAAGATTCCTATGACCATATTTTTAAGGAAAAGACGAGAGCTTCTCACTTGATAATTATGAGATTAAATGGTAATTACGAGATTGAGAACATAAACACCAGACTGAGAATTACCCAATTAACAATCACCACCAAAAAAGTCTTCAACTTCGGAGAAGAAGAGAGAAGAAAAAGGAAAGAAATTTGTCTCTGATTGAATTCTAATCACGGGCTTACAATTAATTAAGAGCTCCGCGCCAACCATCACCTATGCGCTGTCACTAACGTCTCAACCATCACCTATGCGCTGTCACCAACGTCTCAATGAACCTCAACCCGTCGAATCTCGGCTCGAATTTCTCCTTATCCGACGCCGTTTGACAGTTTTGTGCACCGTTCTTCACCAGCGCAGAAGAAACCCTCTAACCAAACACAATTATCATGTAGATTAGATTAAAGATGGGATTTTTACTCACTTTTCGTGAATCGAAGTTCACCGAAGCAGAGAAATTGGTAGATCCAATCACCAATTTCAATCTTCACAGAGAAAAAAATATGAAAAATTTGCAGCATTCATGTGCATACCTGGTTGGACGAAGACGACGTCGTAAGAGCCATGGTGGAAGCGGCAACCACCGACGCCACCAGTGTTCCCGACGCCTTCATTTTGCGAACTCAAAGAGAAGAGAAGAGAAGAGACGAGAAGGGAAAGACCGTTGGTTCGAGGCTCCGAAGTAACTATTCCAAGTTGGATGGGCGAAACCCGACGAGGCTCGCCGGATCTCAACCCGAACTTTGCGATTTCCTTCTTCTCTGAATTTTCCGCTCGCAGAGGCTTTAACTGGCGCTGTGGTGGGCCGTTATATATATACGCGGGTAGCGGGCCTCCCTCAAACCGCATTTAACGGGGTTTAATTTTAAATTTAATTCCGCCTTCGTGTCGAGATTCTCCGCCACGCTGGCGTTGTTTTAACTTGTCGAGTCAAACAGATGGACGGTTACGATTGTGTGGTGGTGATTTTGAAGGGTAGGTGATGAGCCTGTAGGTGCGTCCCGCAGGTTGGGATTAGAGAACTGAGGTGGGTGCACGGTTAGGTTGGGTGGGGGGGAGAGTAGGTTAGAGTGGTTCTTTCTTTGGTGGATCAAGGAAAGATGCTTTATTGGGCCGTAAGATTCCTAAACGCTGGTGGGGCCCGCTGGCTTTGGAATGCGAGTTGTGGAGGGAAGAGGGAGGGGGGTTTAATAGGTTACGTTAGGTTCTATTTGTTTAAGCTCGACGCCGTTTTGGTCAGTCTCTCCGCTCACGCATTGTTTTGTGGAGTATTTGACTGACTCTTGTTTTTTTTTTTTTTTCTTTTTCTCGTTTGGTATGGCGAACTGTTATGGACTGAATTAAATTTTGGGATTATTTTGGATTAATTTGGATTGGATTAAGCTGGATTAAGTACCAACCTACATTTGATGTTGCGTTGAACTAAGTTGTAAAAATAGTGAAGACTTATGTTTAGTGTTATATCGGACTAAAAAATAAATATTGTAATATTTGAATTTAATTCAGGATTCTGATATTTTTTTTAAGGCTTTTTAATATCTTTTTTTAGAATAATGCTATTTTCAAGTGTATTTTTATTAATTTATGTTCTAAAAAAATAATTAAAACAATAATAAAATTCTATTAAAAAAAACTAGATAATAACATCATAATAGATATAAACAATTAATAAATAAAATTTAAGCTAAAATAATTAATTAACTATAAACTAATAAAATATTTGAGAAAACCACAAATATCTTCTCTTTTTCCTCTCCTCATCACCTCACCACCTACAATCCTCCTTAACCCCATTTGCCTACCTCCCCAAACCACACAGCTTAGGCCGTGCTGTCCACAAACACAACCATGCCTCTTCTCCTTCCTATCATCCCACTTTGCCCCAAATTAAGGCTATCAGATTCTGACCCACATCAACAAAACGAACAAGATGGGGATGATTAGGATGATGATGGGGTCCTATTGGATTGCTCACAGTTGGATGAGGCGATGAAAGAGGGAAACGCAGTAGCCTATTAATTGGGGAAGAAACATTTCTAAAGGTGGCAGACCCACCATTAATCTTCTTCTATTTTCAAGAATCCAAATTCTTCATCCCTTGATTTTTTTTTTCCCCAAAATGTCACTCTCTGGTTTTTAATTTTTTTCAAATGGAATTATTGGCTTTGTGGGAATCTGTTGTGAATGGGGATGTTGTGGTTGTGCAAAGGAGGTGGAGACGTCAAGTTTCTGGGCTATGCAGTGGGTTGGGTGGTGACAGGTGTTTAATTGGGTATGGTTTTTGGTGTTGATACGGTTTACTGAAAACGAAAATCCAGACAATCTAGTTCCATGTGAAGAAGACGAAGAAATTTGTGTAGTTCGGACTCGCGTGTTCTATTTAGCGAGTTCGCTACTTTGTGAACCACTTTTCAACTTTGCTATATTAGAGGAGTGAGTGAAGGGTTTTGATCACTATTGGACTATATAATCTCATTTAAGTTAATCCCTTTCTTATCAAACATAGATTTTCAGTATTATTTAAGCCAATCCAGTCAAGTGAGGGGTACCAAACATAGCCTCAAATCTGTAAGTCCTCAAAGAGGCCTACTCTCATCCTGAGATGGGGTAGCCTCCCCTCTAAAACTCTTTTTCATTTTTTAAAAAAAAAAGTATTTTCAAATAAGTGCACCAATTTGTTTTTAATGTGAACATTTTAAAACGAGTTATAGTTAGATTACATTCAATAGAGAATAATAAATTTGTTCATCTAATTCCTACAATCGTGTTTATCTTATGTACGATAAAGGATAGTGAATTTGTCAATCTAACAAATACAATGGTGTTCGCCTTAAGTATGAATTTGTTAAAAATCTTTACACACACTTTGCCAATGAGAATAATATAAGTCAAATGAGAAAAAAAAAAACAATATTATAGGAAATTGGTCAAGATTCTTCAACCCATTTTTGGTGTATCTTTGTGATAATGTTGTGGTCAAAATGCAATATGTGACCCTTCATCCCTAGATAATCTCCCGACAATATGGTTCAAAGAGAGATAAAAGATGAAGCACTATATGTGATCATGGATCCCTCTAAAAAGCAAAGTCCTATTTGAAAGCAAAGGTAAATAATTTCCAACACGACTTTGTACTAATTTGCTTAGGAAGGAAAAGCATGCAGTTGTGCTTAAACTAGGAAATCAAAACCCTTCCAAACCAAACACTTCCTAAATTCACTAGGAATATTAACATCCTAAAGCCTCTGCCTATATATTAAGGGCAAAACAATCCTTGTGCTTATCCATAATCTTTTGTTCCTCAAAACCTAATCCTTAAGGTTGCTGTTTGTTTGACAACAATGTCTGTTTTCGGTGGATTTCTTGGGGACATATGTGCTGATTATTTTTATGATGAATTTGGTTTGCCTCTGCCTAATTACAAGGCAATTAGCACCAAACCAAAGGATGCCGAGAATTCTGAAGCCAAGAGGGGAATTAATGAGACCAAGAATAAGTATAAGAATGTGGGCAGCAGCAGTTCATCGTCTAAACCTATAGCCTTGGCTGAGGAACCGCAAAGCGATGCACTGTCTTTTGCTCCTTCCTTTGATGGATTGTTCTGCTTTGAAACGCTAGTTTCCAAGTTCATCAAACCTACTTAGTATTTGTTCGGTTGTGGTTACTTAATTTGGCTAGTTGGGTGAGACAGTCAATTCATTCATACTGTTTTTATGAGATCAGCAACTTTTTTTTAATCAATTCTTGTGAACCGAAATAATTTCAACACTCACAGAGAAAATTAAGAATCAAAATTATTGCAATACCCATTACTTATGAGTAAGCATGCATAGTCTATGCCTACAAATACATTCACAGAATAAAGTGGAATTCGAATTCTCATTACATACCATAACATACCAAGTGTGTGCATATCTTTATGTTCATAATATTACATACCCATGACATGTAATATAAGGCTATAAAGCAACTACATTATGAAACCCATAATTGTTTTTTGGTATTTATCCAAAAATAAATAAATATTTGTTTTTTGTTCCCTTTTTGAAGAAAGGGATTTCCACTCATGGACCAGACATTAGTAAAGACTGTTTATCTGAAGTGGGCTGGTCCATGGTAAATATAATGGGTTAGTAATTGAGGAAGGTAATCGATGCCCTTTTGGGCCCAAATGAAGCTTAGGGACCATCAATAAAAATTGGAACACAAGGGAAAGAGAAGACTATGACTCGAAACAAGTACTTACTTGTTTTCAAATATTAAAGTCATCACGTGTCAATGGGGTATATCTCAGTTGGTTGAGCTCTTCAATCTTCTTTACTCATGTGAGTAGAGATTCGAAACCCTCGTACACCCGAAAAATATTTGTGTGTAAAGCCTCCTTTCTCAATTACTTGTATTCAAAAAATAATAATAAAGTCAATCACACTCATTCTTCAATACTTTGAACCAAACCTACCACCAATATGCCATACATGAATGAGGCCTTATGAGGTTTCGTCATTCCCTTATCAAAAACTCCAATACCTCTCTCACTCCAATGGGAAAGTGGTCTTCTTCGCTTCCTTCCATCTTTATCCATGAGTTGACCGTTGACTCTTCAATACTAGCTAGTCTTGGCAGAAATAATTCTAGGCTGTGCAGCTCATCCTCTTCCCAAGCAACAACCTACAAGTCTGATTTTTCTTGTCCCTTCTAACTTTCCAAGACATATTCAATGGTACTGGAAGAAGACCGGACCAAAGTGGGGTAGATAGATAGATATACATGCACATCATATTATATATATTAAATTTAATATACATGTACCAGCTTTTGTGCTAAGTTCATCTGTATTATATTTCAATTGCAGCAATTTCTTTCTTTATCGCCAAAGGAAAGAGAGAAATTGTCTCGTCTGGGAATTGATAAATTTAGTCAAGTTGATCCATTTACAAGGTCATGCTAGGGAGACTAACTTTAGATACCAACTTGTGTACCGTTTCTCTAATAGAGATGAAGCCCACCAATATAATGGGTCTCACGCTCTATTAGAAAGATTGTACACAAGTTAGTATCTAAAGTTGATTTTCATAGTATTTTCTTGTATTTTTTATATGTTGCGAGTTTAAACTTGATACTACTAATTTACAAGTTAATAACTTTTTTCATTAGACTAAATCCCGTATTTGACAGAAAAGTGAACATTGTAACACATAAACTTGCTAGATTCCTTAAATCATGGGAAAAGAAGTTTCATAATTTCTTCCAATATTATATGCTTTATAATGTTTCTTCTTTCCAGTAACAAACCGCCCTGTCTAAAAATAGAAAGAAAAAACCCAAGTTATTCTTTTTCTTGGCAAGTAAGTAATGTGCACACAATTTCCAAGTCAAGATAGACCAAGTCAGAAGTGACTTCATTCCAATTCCAAAGTAGCCGTCTTTTAGAATCCTGAAATCTTCCTTGCCAAGTTGTGTCAGACTCGTCTCCATAGGCGGCAATACAGAGCATCCAGGCTATCTCCCTTCACACGCATTCTTAATCCCAATCAAACAAGGAAACAGCAAAAACCTACCTCCTCTCTCTAGAACTTTCTATCTCTCTCCTCCAATCAACCCTATATATACTTCAATTTCTTCCACAAACCCTCATCACCAAATCTCAATTTCTCTCTAAAAGTCTAAAAGTTTCTGAATTCTAAGAATTTGGTTTTCGACTTTTGGTTCATCCGAGCGGTAAAACACACAACTTTTCAATCAAAAATCCCAAATTCACTCTAAAGTCTAAGTCTTTTTCAATTTTAAGAATTGGGTTTTCGAGTTTTGGTTCATCTGAGCAGTAAAACACAGAAAGCTTCTACAAGCAACCATGAATTCCATGT